CCTCCTCCATGAGCGACTGAGTTTGACACGCCTGCTCTGCGATCGAACACGAAGGAAAAGCTCAACATAATATTTTTACAAATCTGGCCACTTTTTAGCCTCTCATGTATTACCCAACACAGTGTACACTGTGAATTGAATTCATTTGATTCCGTCGTCGGAGCCTGTACCGCAGTCAAATTCCCCTTCATGGAGGGGCAAAAGCTACAATTTTGACACCCTTTTTCTTTCTTTCTTTCTTCCTTTTTTTTTTTTTTGGTTAAGTGTTTTACGGTGCTCGCAACCGCATACCGTCATAACGAGCAATCGGAACACATTATACGAATTTTCAGTTTTTCACAGGAACTAATTTTGAATTTTGCCCGGGTGGAGGCCGAAACCCGCTCCTAACGAGTTTAGGACCACCAATGATCAAACGCAACTTGCACACGGGTCCTCCGAGAATTTTTGCCCTTATCCGGGAAGGCTAGATGTTCGATCTTACCTAGCTCGAGGTGTGTCTGAAAGACAGCAGTAGCCAAGGAGTAGCTAGCTGAAAGGCTGCAGAAAGAGCCAGGAGCCCAGACAAGGGGTGGGGGGCAAGAAGTAGAGACGAAAACAGACGACAGACCATGGTTAAGGAGGGGGAAATTAGGTGAAAGGAGAACATTATGAAAATTTTAGACAAGAAAATTTTCCGCCGTCGCTATCGGGTTTCGAAACCGGGGACCTATTAAATGACAGGCAAACACCGTAACACGTGGACCACGAGAGCCCTTATTTTGACACACTTATACCAAATTTGACTCGCAACCTTGAAACACAAATGTGTTTGATTTGAAGGTCACAGTTGAATTTGGTCGAAATGTACTAAAATGCCGACTTTTGTCCCACTCATGATGAAAAAATCTGGCTGGTCTCAGCTGAATCAAATTAATTCGATTCACAGTGTACAGTCGGCTATACCAGTGTCACCAAACATTGAGCGACGGAAGAGCGTCTGACGAAAGTACCCCCCCCCCCGCCCCTCCCAAATCCCTTGACTTCTACGAGATGTCATATTAATCTATTTAATTAAACACAGTCGAATATTATCAGCTCTCTCTCTCTCTCTCTCTCTCTCTCTCTCTCTCTCTCTCTCTCTCTCTCTCTCTCTCTCTCTCTCTCTCTCTCTCCCCCCTCTCTCTCTACCCCCTCTCTCTCTAACCCCTCTCTCTGTGTGTCTCGATTTCTACCTCCTGTCTCTCTCATATACATGTATATCATAAATGGTATTATATGATAATTTAAGGGCGCTCTCGTGGTCCAGAGGTTAAGCTGTTCGCCTCTCATTCACAAAGGTCCCGGGTTCGAATCCGGGTATAGCGACGGAACATTTTTCTTCTCTAAAATTGTCTTCTTTCACCTACTTTCATGCTCTCAAGCAATATTCTGTCGTCTGCTATCGTCTCCACTTTCTGCCCCCACCCTCACCTCCTTCTTGCCTTTTCTGATAAGGGCGAAAAATCTCGGAGGTCCCGTGTGCAAGTTGCACACGTTAAAGATCCCTTGGTGGTTTAAAATCGAAAATCGAGTAGGCTTCGGCCGCCACTTAGGCAAAATTCAAAATTTCCTACCAACTTAAAACGTTTTAATGTGTCCCTCGCGCTCGCATGATCTTAAGCAATTGCGAGCGCCGTAAAATACTAGCCAAAAAACAAAACAAACTTAATATTATCTTATATAATATAATGCATGTTATATTATTATTATAATAGGCTTAGCCAATGTATACGACTTGGGAGGTCCGTTGTGCATTCATTAATAATATTTGGTTTACTGCTGAAAGTGAAAATATAAACTGTTTTGAAATCAAAACGCAGTCTGTCTGTCCACTTAAGTTCATTTAGACGTATCCAAAAATTAGTGCGGGCGTTGAATGCGGCTAAAGCTAGGCCTTCTCAGAGGGCTGAAGGTATTACAATTTACTTTTAGACATTTTACAGTATCAAATACCAACTTGCTAGCTTCTTCGTTTTAGTTCGGTGATAAACTACTTTTAATTATTTTAGATAAATTATTTTTATTTAGTGGCTTTGGATTATTTGATTTGCCCTAAGTATGTAAGAGAAAAATAAATTCAGCGTAACTGCGCACATTTACTTTTTACACCCTTTGTTCCATATTTACGGCAATCGAGAGTATACGTGTCTCTTCAAGCAAGTTCCAAGCTTCCGTCGCGGATGGCCAATGGCAAAGCACGTTAGTGATGACGGCGTCCAATCACAGCGCGACACGCTGGGGACCGTGAGAATAGAAAAACGTAGGTTGCTGGAGTAAATCATGTTGTGAAGCAGTAACTGTAGCAGGTCACATAGTTCGGGAACACAAAATTGTTGTTCCATTGCATTTTGAAGGCACCCGAAGTGGTTAAGACATCGTTTTCGGTTGGAAGTTTTCCTTGTAAGTATATACTTTCTAGTTTTCTGTTGTCTTACTTTTGTAAAGGGTTACGCTGATCTTTTTATCTTCTCAACTTCCACATTGACGGCACCGGCACCACACCGGTGTTCCAACGTGGGCGTGGACATGGGTAGGCATACGTTGATCAATGATAACTCCAAGTGTCAAGGGTTTGCTCGTTTTTTGAAAATGTCAGTTCGCTGGTAGTAATTACTCGAAAGTATCGTTTACGAGGAGTTAAATCAAAGTTTAAATCAAATATTTATTCATTGTATTGTTGCATCTGTTTGACTTTGAACTTTGAGAGATTCTTCATCCAATGATTATTGTATAAATTATGCAATTCAATTTCTTTTATAGATCTATTGAAATGTTTTTCCTCCTAATCTTTAATTCCCTTTTATTACACTGTTTGGACCCACTGTTTTGTATGCCTTAACTGTGTGCGAGTTCCCATGCAAAGTATGTCAAGGCTTTAACTTTGGTTGTATGTTTTTTCCAGGCCTTTGGTAAAATCAAAATGGATCGGTTCACACCCTTCTTTTTGCTTGTCATACTGTTCAGCTCAAACCTTTTGGTACGGGCAGATGGTGATGAAGAAGATGAAGGAGATAAAAAGAAGTCAGAAGTTGGCACTGTAATTGGCATTGATCTTGGAACAACATACTCTTGGTAAGTTGTGAAAATTGTATCCCTCAGTTCTCGGCTTTGGCTTATGTTGGCACTGAACAGGCAGTCTAAGCCCACTTCCTGAATGTCAAATTGTTGTTGATGGGAGCATTAAAAATACCTAGGCCTACGTTAAAAGAAAATTTATAGCTGGACTGCTATTTAAACTTTTTTCAAATACTGATGAGAAAATGGGGATGTGAAATGGAATACTTCATTTTGATAAATATTATATATAGGCCTATGTCCTATGTGATTCCCTTCCTTGATAGTTACATAGAAATTGTGAAAAGTGTACACGCAATTGCTCTATTTTATGTGGTCTATTAATTTGTATTCACCAAATGACTTGTCACAATATTAAATGCATCATAGACAGGGCCAGGCTGGCTCCATATTCAGAGAGCCATTTCAAATCCCACTGGAGGCCTCCTGTGCCCCTATTGCGAACTCTGGTGTTTATTCCTAAACATTTTTTAGTGGGTGGTTGGCGGGTGCTCTGGTGTGGTTTGCTTCTTCTTTCCTATCAAACATCTTATCGTCCTTATCTTCCCTCCTCCTTTTTTATGTTTGTTACTCTTGTAACACCTCTAATCTTCTGGTGCTCATATGACCTTATGCAGTTGCGAGCGCCGTAAAACCTCTACTAAAACTAAAAAATTTAACTTTCTTTTGCTTTCAGTGTTGGTGTTTTCAAAAATGGCAGAGTTGACATCATTGCAAACGACCAGGGAAATCGTATCACACCATCGTATGTTGCCTTTACCGCTGATGGTGAACGTCTGATCGGAGACGCTGCCAAGAATCAGTTGACATCCAATCCTGAGAACACAATTTTTGATGTGAAACGTTTGATTGGGCGCACTTTTGATGACAAGTCTGTTCAGCATGATATCAAGTTTTACCCTTTCAAGGTGAGCATTCACACTTGACACTTCACAAAAAAGTCAGTGCTATTGAAGGGGGGTGGGGCGGGGCCATTGAAAATTGACATGCTCTTTTAAAAGTTTCTAAAATTGTTACTTCAGTTGAACAGGAGTCAAATATGACGTATTGAGAAAATAAAAATAGCATAGTTTTGTAGATGACCAAAGAGAAGTTTGTGGCTAAACAAAGAAATTGCTTTTAAGTGAGTTATGATTTGTTTCTTATAATCTTTGCCCTCATGAGAAGCATGGGGATGGGTGGTTGGCGGATGCTTTCGTGGGGTTTGCTCCCTTTTAATATCAAACATCTGTCACCATTACTTCTTTTTTTGTTTTGTTTGCACTGTTGTAACACCTAATTTTCGGCACTTTTGTAACACCTAATTTTCGGCACTTTTGTAACAGTTATTGCGAGTCCTGTAAAATACATACTAAAACGAACAAGAAAGCACAAAGAGAAAACAAGGAAGCATGGAGCTTAGGCTCCTTCTCCTAAAACTGGATTATTTGTGAATGTTTAATTAGGATCAGCCTCTTGTGCTTGTTTTTAAATTTTTCCTATTCTGTACCTGTCGAAACGTAGCTGTTTTCACTGTGACTGATTGTGAACAACTCGACATCATTCTCTTTGCTCCTCGAGATTTGCTGTTCATTATATGGTCTGCACCTGTTCGGGGTTTGTTTTTTTCTTTTGGCCGCTTTTCTTGTTATGCAGTGTTACGTTGTCGTTGTAGGTTGCAACCTGACCATATCATTTTGCTCTGAATCTACAGGTCACTAATGCAAACAACAAACCTCACATTCAAGCAGCTACTGGTGAGGGTGATAGATCTTTTGCCCCAGAGGAAATTTCGGCTATGGTCCTTTCCAAAATGAGAGATATTGCTGAGGAGTACTTGGGAAAAAAGATTACCAATGCTGTTGTCACTGTCCCAGCCTACTTCAACGATGCTCAGCGTCAGGCTACCAAGGATGCCGGAACAATTGCTGGTCTCAATGTGATGAGAATCATCAATGAGCCGTGAGTAATTTTCTCATTTATTTCAGAGTGGTAATTTCCTAAGGCTCCAGTGATAATACTTGTACTTCTGTTTTTATAAAATCTGTTGGTTTTTTTGGTCTGATTTTGCATTTTATTTTTACTTTTTTTTTTTTTCAAACTGGGATTTTTATTTGTACACCTCATACTTTAAAATAAATTATGCCTGTATTGGGTACTTTATACACACACTCACACATATACACACACGCCCTTTGCTTTAGAGTTTATGAAATAGAATTCATGTGCGATAGCCGTAAAATATCTTTTAAAGCTCAGTTTTACTTTTCATTTGGGAGATGCGTTTGTGTCAAGATAAAATAGGTGTCTTTTTACTTTAAATTTTAGTATGAATTATTCATGAATCACTGCTACACATGTTTTGTGTGTGCATGTTAATAGTTTTTTATGTGTTTTTTTTTGTTGCTTTTATTACAGAACTGCTGCTGCCATTGCCTATGGTTTGGACAAGAAAGAGGGAGAAAAGAACATCTTGGTGTTTGACCTTGGTGGTGGAACTTTTGATGTGTCTCTGCTCACCATTGACAATGGTGTGTTTGAGGTGGTTTCTACAAACGGTGACACTCACTTGGGTAAGAATCTTGTAGTTGCCTTTTGTTTTTTATTCCATAGTATGTTGAACAATAGGAAGACAATTTGTGTTGACCAAATTCCTGTACTTTTGAAATCTACCTTTGTCTACCTTGTCCTCTTCTTTTGTTTGGTAAATTTTAAAAATATTTATGCTTTCATAGGTTTTTTTGTTTTCTTGGTTTTGTCCTTACTTTACTCATTTGCTATGTCAATACTGTTAGAGAGCCAGCATTTTGACTCCTTTTGTGCCCATTCCAGTCAGAAAATTAAAGATTGAGTTGTTTGTATTTATTTCTCGATGTATAGTTTCCTTTTCATTGTTTAGACCCATATGATTGTGGTGTTTGTTTTTTTCTTCAGCCATAGAAGTATAGGGGTTTGATGATTAATGTTTTAAAAACTATTTGATCAGGTGGTGAGGACTTTGATCAGCGTGTCATGGAACACTTCATCAAGCTGTACAAGAAAAAGAAGGGCAAGGACATCAGGAAGGACAACCGTGCTGTGCAGAAACTGCGTCGTGAGGTTGAGAAGGCAAAGCGTGCTCTCTCTTCTGCCCATCAAGTCCGTCTGGAGATTGAGTCTTTCTTCGATGGCGAGGACTTCTCCGAATCTCTTACCCGTGCCAAATTTGAGGAATTGAACATGGTAAGGTTTTTATTTTTTGGGCGGGGAGGGAAAGGGGGATGTCTTATTAATTTTTTCCACAATGTATTTTGCATGGGTTGCTCAATATTTGATGCTTATTCTCCTTTGGGTTCTTTTGATTCAAGCAAGATTGTTGACTAATACTGAAGACACAAATTGATCTTGAAGTAAATGTAAAAGTTTAACCAATAGCTTATGGTGTTGAATCTGTATTCAGATGGTTAAATGTGGAGATTTTACTCCCATTTTTTTTTTTTTATTTGCTTTTGGAATTCCAGTCATAAATTTTACTTTTGTTTGCACTTTAAGTGACAATTCCTAATTGAATAAATGCTGTATAATTGTTAAAAGTGTACAAGTATAATAAGTATAATTTTTTGTTTCGTTTTCTTCAGGATCTGTTCCGTTCTACCATGAAGCCAGTGAAACAGGTGTTGGAAGATGCTGACTTGAAGACTGATGACATTGATGAAATTGTGTTGGTTGGTGGTTCTACTCGTATCCCTAAGGTCCAACAGCTTGTGAAGGAGTACTTCAATGGCAAGGTGAGCATTTAAGCACATGTAGGGGGAGAAGTCTTTAACTCAATTCCATCCAAAACCCTGTTCTGAAAAATAATCTCCCATAAGAGATGGGGCGGGACTGTATTAAAATTCAACATAAAAAACTTTGATTGAAATTGCAGGCAATGTTTCAAGGCGTGTCCCAATTTATGGATCAGTTCTTGTATCTTTTTCTTCATTTTTGCGGTGTGTCGTAATGTTTTTGGCAAGTATGCTTTATAAAATAATACAAATCTTGAATTATTGTTCACTTCAAGTCTGTCAAGGAGATATATTTGTAGCTTGCATTTCTTTTTTATGTGACTGGAAAGGGGAGTACAGCGTGACTGAAGAATTTGAAATTTGGTATTGGTTATTTGTGTTTTAATTAAATTTCCCTTTGGTTTTTCAGGAGCCAAGCCGAGGCATCAACCCCGACGAAGCTGTGGCTTACGGAGCTGCCGTGCAGGCTGGCGTGCTGAGTGGTGAGGAGGACACTGGCGATCTTGTGTTGTTGGACGTCAACCCTCTGACCATGGGTATTGAGACTGTTGGAGGCGTCATGACCAAGCTCATTCCCAGGAACACTGTCATCCCCACCAAGAAGTCCCAGATCTTCTCCACGGCTGCTGACAACCAACCCACTGTCACCATTCAGGTACGTGTTCAGCTGGGCATAGCTTTCTCTGATATTGTTTTGACCAAAACTGAGTCGATAGTGCAGTAAAACACCTACTCGGGGGGCTCTCGTGGCCTAGAGGTTAAGGTGTTGGCCTCTCATTCAAAGGTCCCGGGTTCGATTCCGGGTAGCGACCAAAAAATTTTCTTCTCTTAAATTGTCTCCTTTCACATCCTTTCCTGATCTCTAACAATGTTCTGTTGTCTGCTTTCATTTTCACTTTCTTCCCCCACCCCCTCGCCTCCTTTGCCCCCCCCTCCTCTGGGCTCCTGACTCTTTCTGCGGCCTTTCTACTGCTACTCCTTGGCTCCTCCTAACTGCTGTCTTTCTGCCACACCCGTGATCTTCTAGTAGGAAAGATCTACACCTAGCCTTCTCGGACAAGGGCGAAAAATCTCGGAGGGCCCGTGTGCAAGTTGCGCACGTTAAAGATCCCTTGGTGGTCTAAAATCAACAAGAGTAGGCTTCAGCCGCCACCCGGGCAAAATTCAAATTTCCTACCAACTGAAAATATTAGGTGTGTACCGCGCGCTCATATGACCTTATACAGTTGCGAGCGCCGTAAAACGCTTTACAAAAACAAAAAAAACACCTACTCAAACAGAACAATCTCTTTGTTCAGTGAGTGTTCTCATGTTGTGTGCTCCCTCCTCCTGTTGAGAGGGTCTGTTGTGTTCATGGTGAAATGTGGCCATTACTGTTCTTTTTGCTCTTGTGTAGTAAATAATTCAATCTGTATTGTTTTTGTTGGCTGAGTTTGTTTATGGGTGAGTGTAGAGGTTATCATCCTGGCTCTTGGTGTAATTAAGTCCTTGAGAACTGTTCAGTGTGGTATTACCACTTTGATGTTTGAAATGTTAAACTTGATAATAATAGTGGGTGGTTGGCGGGTGCTCTGGTGTGGTCTGCTCCTTCTTTCCTATCAAACATCTATCGTCCTTATCTCCCCCTTTTCTTTTTAAAAGTTTGTTACTCTCTTGTGACACCTTATCTTCTGGCGCTCATATGACCGTATGCAGTTGTGAGCGTCGTAAAACCTCTACTAAAACAACATATCTCCCCTCCTTCATTTTTGTGGTATTTGCAGTGTGGGGCATACCTTGGAAATATTTGTGGATAGTAGAGCCCTACGACCCTACCACACCCCACCCCACACACAAATCAAAATGATCTTGCATGAAAAGCTTTGTAGCTGGGCCTTTGCATACATCTTCTGTTAGCATCAGGAATGTAAAATTTTAGAAGCTGTGTTTTCATGGTTTGCTTTTTTTCTTTTTCTAACAGGTTTACGAGGGAGAACGTTCCATGACAAAGGATAACCATCTCCTTGGAAAGTTTGATCTGACCGGAATCCCCCCAGCTCCTCGTGGTGTGCCCCAGATTGAGGTCACTTTCGAAATTGACGTCAACGGTATCCTCAAGGTGACAGCAGAAGACAAAGGCACTGGCAGCAAGAACCAAATTGTCATCCAAAATGACCAGAACAGATTGTCACCAGAGGACATTGAGCGTATGATCAACGATGCTGAAAAGTATGCTGATGAGGATAAGAAAGTTAAGGAGAAGGTGGATGCCAAGAACGAGTTGGAAAGCTATGCCTATTCTTTGAAGAACCAGATCGGAGATAAGGAAAAATTGGGAGCCAAGTTGAGCGATGAGGACAAGGAAAAAATCACAGAGGCTGTCGATGAGGCCATTAAGTGGTTGGAGAGCAACGCAGAGGCAGAATCTGAGGCTTTCAATGAGAAGAAAACAGAATTGGAAGGTATTGTGCAGCCTATCATGACAAAACTGTATGAACAGTCCGGCGGTGCCCCACCACCATCAGGAGAAGAGGAATCGGAGGATGCCGAGAAGGACGAGTTATGAGTGTTCCTGTTAGTTATTAGCATTTATCATCTGTATTTCTCGCTTCAGTACGTCCAAGATCCTTTATTTGGCACAAAAAAAAAGACAAACTTTTTTCTGGGATCTCTTTTATTCAACTTAGCTGAAAAAGATAAACTTTTGTTTGGTTTGAGTCAAAGATACTGCTGAATTCTGTGTCAGTGACCTGGTGGGGGATGAACTGATTCACGAACTTTCCATAGATCAAATTATGGACTCATTTCCATTGTCAGAAGTATTGTTTACTATACAAATCCTGTTGTTACTTTATCGGTATGAAGTATGAATGGCCGTGAGTGATTGCATGGTGGGTGTTTCAGTGACCATTGGAGAATGTGATAAAATTGTTGGCTGTGCTGAATGGTGATGTGGGTGTTGTAAGTTGTTGGTGCTTGAGGTTTGCAGGAAGCTTTGACTGACTCGTGCAATTTGAAGGTGTGATTGTTTGCATGGCATATCATTTCAAATCATTTTTCATTTTCATGTGTGAATGGAGAAATTGGTACAGTTGTTGTGAACTTTAACTCATGGTTGAATTAAATGTTAAATTATGTAAATTGAAGACTTTCTTTTTTTATTATTAGCATCTGTGTTCAAGCTATGTGTACTTTTTAAATGCTTTCTTTTTCTTATTATGCTCTTCTCTCATTTCTTATGCTCTTCTTTCATTTCTTTCTGAAATGTGGCGAAGGCTTTGAACACAGGGAACACTACAAATATTTCTCACAGTAAATGACTGAATCAGTGCCTTTTTGACACATAGAGAAAGCAAGACACAGGAATAACATGTTTAATTTGATATTACTAGATCTTGTACTTGCCTACTTAAGCTAGATTTTTAAGGTAAAGTGTTTTCGTTTAGGTTTAATAAGATTTATGGCACTTGCAAAACAGGTCATAAAGCGCTGAATATAAGTGTAGTGATACCAGAGAATACCATTGAAAAAAATTAATTAAAGGACGATGTTCGAAAGGAAAGGAGCGAACCACACCACAGAGCGCACGCCAATCACCCACTTTCAATTGTTTTCTGCCTTGCACTGCACTGCTGTTCCAAGTCAAAGGGTTTTCATGGTTTAGGTTCAGCTGTCTACTCTTTATAAGTTGAAATTTGGCGTCCTCAATATCTTATATTGAGGACTCCGAATTTCAACTGACATTCTCTATATATGTACTCATCTTTTTGCTGTGCTATACTTGTCTTTTACTTTTCTTGCCAAATGAAGTTTGGTGCTCATCTGCAAAGGTAAAATGATCTTCCTACTTCTTGTAGCCAAGTTCATGTTCTGAACAGGCTCTGCTCATCTTTATAAAAATGTATGATTCTGAGCTGAATATACAGACTTCAACATAAGTTAAGGAACGCCTTGATAGACAGTCCTGATTTTTTAAAAATTCGAAAAAAAGACAGCAAGGAATGTTTCAAAATTTTTCGCTCTGAAAGTGTTAATGGGTTACCAATGCGTACTGCATTCCTAAAGGGGCAAAACCACCACATGCAGAACGGAAATCTCCAGGGAATTGTTTTAGCCAAATTTGCTGCTTTTTATCGACTTTGTGTCCGACAGCACGGACATTCTTCAGTTAAAATTTCTGGTGCACATCAGAAACGGACGTATGGTATCGAACTGTGCTCACTTTGGTATCAATATAAGCCGCCGTTTGCCCAAAATCCAGTATCACATCAACATGCTACCAAGACAAAAGCTGAGAGACTTTGATCGTGCCAGAGGTATGGCATGGCTGCAGAATGGAGTTGGAGCGGGAGAAGTTGCCAGAAGGCTTGCAGTGTCACACTGTCATTGTCTGCTTGAGGCAGCGCCATCAAACCACTGGATCAGTCCAAAAACGCCCATGTGCAGGTCAACCTAAGAAGGCCACTCAGTGTTTTGAAGTCTGTAATAATATAGCCTCTACAAATTCAGTCGAACCTGCTCTAATCTAATAGTTAACCACCTGCCTGAAGAAAATCACCTATATACAAAGAGGCACTTCCTATTTCCTCCCTTACATATATTTTACATTGTAGTGACACTAAAGCCACTTTATATTACTCGACATTGGGTGGCCACACCCTTGATAGTATTCAATCAATAAGGTGGTGAATGAGTGAATGTAGTATTTAGCCTTAACTGAAGTTTTCCACTTCCCTTTCAACGTCATTTAGAAGGTTATACTTATATATGCCGTAGCTGCCAACCAGTGTGTAAAAAAACTTATGTTCTTGAGGTTCTGGGTATGGAAGTCCCATTTTTTGTAAAAAATGTATTATTTTGTACATCACGTAGTTAGGCTCCTTGCTGAAGGAAAATTACGAACTTTAAGAACAGGATTAGCAGCTCTTGTGGTCAAGAGATATTATATATGGTGTTTGTTTCTCATTCAATAGGTCCTGTGGGTGGTTGGCGGGTGCTCTGGTGTGGTTTGTTTCTTCTGTCCTATCAAATATCTATCATCTTAATCTTCCCTCCTCCTTTTTTGTGTTTGTTACTCTCTTGTCACACCTCTAATCTTCGGCACTTATATAAAAGTTATATGACCTTATTGTGTTGCAAATGCCGTAAAAAGCACTTACGAAAACAATAGGTCCAGAGTTTGAAACCTGACAGCGACGAAATATTTCTTCTAAAATTTACTCCTTTCACCTCTTTTCCTGTCCTCTTGACAGTCTTGACGTGTTCTATTATCTGCTTCTATCTTCACTTTCTGCCTCTTCTCTCTTTTACTCATGACTCTGTACTGAGCTGCTGCTACTTCTGGCCCCTTCTTACTGCTGTCTTTCAATCACACTCCTGATTTTAGGATAGTTAAAATTGAACACCTTGCCTTCTCGGATAAAAAAAGGGTGCAAAATCTCAGAGCTCCTGTTTTCAAGTTGGGCACATACATTAAAAATCCCTTGATGGTCCTAAAATCAATAATAGTAATAGGCTTCGGCTGCCATCCGAGCAAAATTCAAAATTAATTCCATGGGTGGTTGCCTGGTGCTCTATTGTGGTTTGCTTGTTCTTTCCTATCAAACATCTATCGTCTTTATCTCCCCTCCTTTTTTGTGTTTGTTACTCTCTTGAAACACCTCTAATCTTCAGCACTTATATGACCTTATTTTGTTGCAAGTGCCATAAAACACTTACTAAAACTCAAATTAATTCCTACCAAACCTGAAAATACTCGTCAGTAGTATAGTATAGTAGTATAAAAACAGCACCTTCGAAATCGGAAAGTGGCTGCCTGAAGGCAAGAAGCTTTATTAAGTTGGAAAAACGGTCACGTACACAAAATTAAAAATCAGTTGCACTGCAGGTTGAAGAACCAACAGTCGACTACCCCTGAGACTGAAATTTAGCAGGTGAACGTAAAGAAGAAGAAGAAAACAGGATTTGCGAATACTAATAATACTATTAATACTAATGAGAATGAAGCCAAGTCAATTGGTCACTTTTAAGGACAAACGGGCTAATCCAGATTTCGGGGGTTTCCAGTATTCTTGACCCACACCAAAAGTAGACGTTGCCCTTCCCATGAGAGAAGTCTGGTTTCATTCGTGTGTATATATTTGTTTGGTTATAGAGAAAACTCTCTCTGTCATTTACAGAAGCTGAACAAGGGTCAAAAACTTAATCTTCGATTTTCTCAAAACTTCATTTTTCGGGATAGCTCCTTTGTGCTTAAAAGCGACCAATTGGAACACCTTTACGAAACATTTCTAACATTGTTTCAGGTCTGCTTTGAATAGCTTGAAATAATATGAACGCAGAAAAGTGTATATGAAAGGTTTGGAGGGGAATTACGTGTCCAATGCCAACCATCTTGCCGCACAGTCTGTATTTTGGTTATGAAAAGTTGACAGGTATGGTTTATGTTCATTTTCGTGTGGTGGTCAGTCGATTCCAGAATTCTGGTGTCGCTTGGCTTCATTAATAAAATGCATTAGTACTTGCACTATGTTTTAATAGTAATAGTGAACTAAATAATCATGTTGCAGTATGAATAAAATAATATTTATACAATCTTGCACTCACGTCGCGAACATACACACAATGAAACACACACAGCGAACAGATTTGCAGGTCCCAATTTTGTTTCTTTTATAGTCAAACCATGTTGTACGGCCCCGTTGTACTGTCAGCCCTGCTTACTGCCAGGTTTTGCCAATGTACGAAAAGGAGCACCTATGTAAACACAGTAATTGCGTCTTCACACCGCCATCCACCAACTGTCTGAGTTGTACCAGAGAGGGTGGTTGTACGGTCTTTACCGTTACTTAATTAATGTACATTTGCCCCGCCATACCGCCAGCCCAGCGAACTGACTGTCAGCAGAGGTACACACTACACATAACACCCACTGGTTGGCTATTGGATAATCTTTCTCCGACGAGAAAGACAGAGAGAGAGAGAGAGAGAGAGAGAGAGAGAGAAAGAAGACTCTTTGCTCTGAATGGATGTGCATTACATATACATTAGATCACCAACAAAAAGACAAATGAGGAGGTGAGATGCAACACCCACTAAGCGATATTTTGGAGGAAAAAAAATCGAGATATTTTAGCTTTTATAAATAAATGCACATTATTAACAGCTATCAGATGCACAAAGTATTTTTGGCCAAAACCCAACACATATTTCATGTTGTTTTCAAATCCCTTTAGCTGCGAGCATTTCGCTCTTGGCAGCGCAATGTCTCCCTCAAGTAACCACATGTCCTTGTCATCTGGTCAACGCCAGAACACATATTTCATAAAAGCCACCAAAATATCATTTTACGAATGTTCGTGCATTTAGCAGCATAAAAAAACAACTGATTTTCTCCCAAATGCTAAAATGAATGTAGCGGGTTTTGCATCTCAGCCCCTTACTTCAAATATAGATCACCCTGCAGAATAATTTCCCTTGACAATGGGCAGTCGGGGCTATACAACTAACAGAGGAACCCCGTTGAACCGCCAGCCCTGCTGCTCAGCCAGCTTCATGCTCGTCCCAAGGATGGTGTTATTGTAAAAATAAAGTTGAGTCTCTTTAATAAGCTTTCTTAAAACATAGCGAAATTCAGACATAATAATATATGTAGAAAAGATTTGTGTGTCCTGGTTATTTCGACACGCACATGCTAGACTGCACAATGACATGTTTGGACCAAGATGGATGGTGAGTCCTCTCCAAGCAATTCTTGCAAACTAAAAGACTGTATGTCAGACAATAGTAAAATGTAGTATGAAGTGACCTATTCTTGTTGTTAATTTATTTGTTCTTGGAATAAAAATATATTATTGGGTTCTCTTCCAGTAATCTGTCCTTCAAATTTCCATATGAATGATTGGTAACAGAGGGTGCCACTGGTTGATCTTTTTTTTCTCTCTGTTGCTAGTATTATTATTAGTCCATCTACCCTGCATTACATGACTGTTATCATGTCCATGTGCTTGAAGGGTGCCACTATTTTTTTTACAGATAGCTTTCACTTTTTGGGTTTTTAAAAAATATTCTTCTTTGCTTTTCCTCATTTCTATTGTCTTATTGTTACCTTTGTTAAACAAACATTACTGTTTCATGTTTCTCTTAAAACTATTAAATCTGACTTTTCTTGACTCATTGTAAAATAAAGACTCTTCTCTTCCTTTCATTGTTACTGTCTACTATTGGTTCTGTTCTCATGTTTCTGGAGAATAGCCCTTTTGGAGCTGGCTAACTACAAATTCCAATTTAGATGAAAATGCTGACACACATAGAACTAGAACGGTACATGTGTACAAATACTTTCCACTCCACCGAGGTGCAATCCTACTTTGAAATGAAAGTTCAGTCCACAAGGAAGTTATCGTCTGCGAGCAGTTTTGAGTGACCTTCGTGTTGCATCCATAATCTCTATTCTAATGCAAGTTAAAGATGATATTAGACTCCACTAGCCTCAAATAGAAAAAGGGGAACCTGTAGAGCCCACAGTTTCTGAGTCTCCTGTGGGTTAATGCCTTCATACTGGGGAGTCAAATCCCAGCCAAAACACAGACCACTTTTAAAAGCTACGAATGTACTATGTGGTATGCAGAGATTTCAAGCCTCCACATCATGTCTTCAGACATGGACATTCATTAAAAGCTGCACTAAATAGACTACCTTGTGTTGCAGAGTGGAAAATTCACTTTAAGAATTGTTCCAGTTCTTTGTTATAATGCTTTTCTTAGTTTGAAAAAAAAGCATATATATATATATATATATATATATATATCACGGCGTATATTATGTGTGCGTGTCTGGAGAAAGGTTCCAGTTGCCAGCAATTTTCAACTGAAATTGAAATAAGGGCATATTCTTTAAGAAAATTAAATGCTGAACAAACTGATTTTTAAATTTTTAAAATATCTTGAGTAGTTATAAAGATATGCCACATTTTGTAACATAGGGTGTAAAAACGTTTGGAGAAAAACCCAGTTTCTAGCACATTTTTAACCTTTGGTAAAACCCAACATGCTGCAAAAATAATTACAAAAAAAATATTTAGACTTAAAATATTGTAAAATCCTTTCAATGCATTATAAAGAAATGGTCTAACATGTGTTTTCTGATGGAACAAAATTTTTGACCACGTAAGACTTTTTGGCCTTTTCCCCCTGTTTCTCTAAAATAGCTTTGCCGACAACTGGGAGCTTTCTTCGGGCACACACACATAATATTCTATTGTGCTGTAAGGAGGATAACTCCCCAAAACTATGTGTGGGCCTACATCAGCTTGGAACCCATGCCATGGGTGAACTCAGTGTACAAAAAGGATCAAAGTAGAAAAGAAAGTTAGAACTCATTAACCCTATCCCTACATCATGTTTTACTCTTGTACCCATACAACGAGGGGAACTCTGTGCCACCACTTTCCAAAGAGGAAATTTACTCGTTAATCCAATCCGTACCCTTTGCATAGCAGCCTATCAAAATGATTTTTTGAGAAATACTGAAAGTATCAAAGAGATCTTCGTACTAGAAGTATTCTGAAATGTGAAGAATACAACCCCGGGGGTACAAAATGACACCAAGGTGTACGGATAGGGTTAAAAACAATACACATTACAACAGAACACAAATCTTCACCACAAAAAACCAAAAACACAACCAAGTCAATTAAATAAAGAAAGAGAGCAATCAACATGTGATCAATATTTATTCTGGCATTTGTGTTGAATTTACAGTAACAAGAGATGCACACATATTGCTTATAACAATCAAAAGTTACGTACAATATTTACACTGGAAAAATTGTAAAGGAATACTGATGTGGGCAATTCGGTCTATATGTACTAAATCAGGGAAGAACATGTAACAGCCATTCCTTATTCACTTACATTCAATGCCATTTCACATTTTCCTTCACAGAAGCAACCTGTCATTATGGTCAAAAGCTTGAATCTTTCACAAAATGTCTTCAACATCTAACCTCAAACTGAGAGTTGACCAAAAAAATCTTTTCCGAGACATTATGAATTCAATGAAAAACAAAGACAAAAATAATAAATATAAATAAAGATTTAAATGATTTTAAAAATTGGCACTGATTTACATCTTTTGGGGAGCACCAAAGAAAATGAACCTGATAAAAGTGAGCTTATTGTCACAAACGAGTTAGGAAAAAAAAGGCCAATCTCTGGCCATATAACATTTGAATTTGTGTTATTTAAGTGGGGAAAAAAAATTTGGTTAATAACCCCAGCTTGAAACTCATGCTCCCTGATAATTCTGTCTGAGACCCATGAGGCCGAGGGGTAAAAAAAAAAGAATCCTTGGAATTTCACAGACCAAAATACAGACACTAGGGGAGGGAGATAGTATCAGTCATTGCACACGTATCCACACATCTAATGCATCACGCAGTCCACTACAAAGGGGGGAAAGAAACGAGGGCTATGAGTCGGGTCCGGGGTGAATAAACTGGCAGCCGTCTCCGTATCTACAGTTTCCCTTTTTGACAAAATGTTGGCAAACACTGTTCTTGTGACCTGCAATACAAAGAAATAACATGGTCAAATCTCAAAATACATGAATTTAATAATTTTTCATAAAAAAATGTGCACTATCATAGTTCAGACACGTACCCCACCGTCTCCCCCAAAATAATTTTTAAAACACAGAAAAGAAAACCTCCAGTAACAAACATGAATGCACAAGCAAACAAAAGCCCAAAGTCAAATAATACCCCCCCCCCCCACCAAAAAACAAAAAACAAACACCAAACAACTGAAACCGTAGTCTGAATTTTGTATAAACTCGGTCTTGGGTACAGTGTTTAGCACCACAAAAGAGCAACAACCTTCCAAAAACCACCCTGGAACTTCATTATATATTTTGGGAAATACAGTCGAATTTGATCAAGACAACCACCCATAGTCGAGGAGAAAAAAAGGAATCTTGGACGGTGTCATTACAATACACACACACAAAAAAAAGACCAAAACACCCCCCCCCCCCCAATGAGGGGAGGAGGGGAGTGTGAAAAAAAGAGATAGTTTGTGCAGACTTGGACAAGAAGTAGACATTAAAGAAAGTGCGATTGTATTGTTTCGTCTGTTACCCAGCACATCAACAGAGCAGGAAATAAAGATGGGGAAACATTCCCAGCCTCTGTCACAGCGACGGGAGAGAAAGCTGACCGATGAGAGCTCGGAGAGAAAGAGAATCGTTGCGTTATAGTTATAGAATCTAGTTCACAGCAAGTCCTGCACAATTTGGACAAAATACTGAAAAGAAACGAAAAGAACAAGACTGTATTCCTGCAGCATCCAACTATCTCCTTTAACTTTAAGCAAATGAGAAAAGAAGACAGAAAATGAGAAAAAATGTGGGGAGGATATCTTTGGCGGAAGATATATATGAAAAATAAAATAATGAAGTTAGAAAAGGGAAAGAAAGAATCAGCTGACCAGTGACAACTCTCAGGAAAAACACAACGTTAAAAAGAAAACTGGAGAACTCACCTCTCTTGCCGAAGGGTCTCCCTCGCCCCCCACCTCTCCACTGTGGTGGGCCTCCCATTCTCATCTCCCCCATGTTGGGCCGGGGCCCCCTATTGTAGAAATTGGGATTCATGTTGCCTCCGCCGTTGCCCATCATGGGACCTCCTGTTCAGATTTAAAAAGAAGGGGCATTGTAACTTTACTGTATCTATTTCTTCTAAAGAAGAAAGAAAGAAATATTGTAAACTATTTCAAGAAGCCTATAAACAGTATACAAATTACAGTTTAGCAGGCACATATCCAGTAGCTAAATCGTCAGGATGAGAGAATCTTTTTGTTAAGAACGAATTTCGCTGAGTACATGTTTGAAATACAAAGAATATAGATGAATAAGAAAAAAATTGAGTACCTGAAAATCTCTTTACAATGTGCTATAAACAGTGAAAGGTCTTGTCATTTTGTCAGTGTTTAAGTGCTTAATCGGCTGCTAGCACTGTATGCTTTCTGGGAAGTTAAGAATATTTCTGAGTGTTCTATGGTCTGCTGGGGTAACAATATAGTGAGTAAAGCTCATACAGCTTGCAGTCGAGAGGGGATATGCATTATACAAATGCTATTTGGTCGCTTTTAAGCACAAGGGGGCTATCCCGAAACTCTTTAGAGAAAACCAAAGGTAAAGTTTTTGTCCCTTGTTCAGTTTCTTCAAAAGACAAGCAGAGTATCCTCTATAACCAAACAAATAATACACACACCAATCAAACCAAACTTCTCCCACAGGTGGGGCAATGCCCACTTTTGGTGTAGGTCAAGATTTCTGGAAACCTCTGGGACAGCCCACTTGTCCTTAAAAGCGACCATTTATTATTATTATTATGCTATATGTGCATGTTCACGATGTGCGTGCTAGACTGTAGATCATGTCATAGAACACCACAGCACTGAGTGCATCACACACACACATCAGGAAAGTCACCTCAGTGCAGCACCCTGCCTTTGATTTGACTCAACTAACATGATTTATCACATGGGCCACAGTGAATCTTGCTCTAGGACACTCCACCCGAGCAATCACTGCATGCTGTGTAACCCACATAGTTTGATGTATATTGGTGAGCTAGCGTGTTCACTAACCACTCAACCATTGAAGTCCTGAAACTTTCTCTATCTAGCTAAGTTTAGTTTTGGTTAAGTTTTACTGTGCTTGCAACACAAATAAGTTGTATATGTGCCAAAGATTAGAGGCCTTATAAGAGAGAAACACACAATACAAAGAAAAGAAGGAGAGACAAGGATGATAACACATCCCCCATCCTAACTGTAACACTTTCGACCTCAAATGGGAGATCTTTCAACAGCCATAACAGCTGTGAAAAAAACTCCCTCAAGTTGGAAATTAGAGCAAGTACAAGACGGCAAGGAAAGCAATCAGCTTGTCACACTTACATACAAAAAAAAAAAGGCACAAACCGCATTCAAATAAAGTTCAGGGAATAAAATTCCGACTCAGAACAATAAGCAGATGCTTCATCATATGAGTATGACGTGCACGACTTCTTCTTGAAGCTCCTCAACCCCCACATCTCAATCTCAGAAGAGAATATCTTACCTGGCATACTGGGCCCCCCCTGCATGTTGGGCCCTGGCATGTTGGGTCCACCCTGCATGTTGGGCCTCATGTTCCCGGGTCCCATCATGTTGAAGCCCGGTGGGTGGGAGCCCAGGAGACCGCCGTGCGGCCGCGGGTTGCCCATCTGGTTGGGTCCCATCATGCCCCGTGGTCCCTGCCCGCTGCCACCGCCCATATTGGGGTCCATGCCGTTGTTGGTCACTGAGCTGATAAGACCGCTCAGACCTGGAGGAAAAAACCGTGGGGTTTTAGTTTTTGTAAAGGTTTTACGGCGCTCGCAACTGCATAAGGTCATATGAGCGCCAGAAGAAATAAAGGTGTTACAAGAGAGTAACAAACATAAAAAAGAAGGGGAGATAAGGACGACAGATGTTTGATAGGAAAGAAGAAGCAAACCACACTAGAGCACCCGCCAACCACATGTACAGTTGAGTTTGATGTAATGAAAAGCACATGGCTATAAGTTTGAAGTTAACAAATCACTGGCTTGATAGACCGAGAGGTTTATAGACGAAATCCAGAAGTTAACAGACTGGCGGCCTGATAGATTAAGAGGTTTCTTGAGGCAATACTGAAGAGTCACACAGGCATAGCACTGAAGATAGCATAGACTACTGCTCTGTTTTAATGACACAATACCTCATGTACAGCAAATAGCTTAATGGTCTTATCATCATCAGCAATGCCCTTCAGGGTATATAGGCCACGAACAAACACTTTCCACCTTTCCCTAGCCTAGCCTCTTGATATTTTTCCATGTGATGGTCTTATCTTATGGGGAAGAATTAAGTTTAAAAACTGCCATTTCATAGGTTTTAAAACCCATGGCAAGATAATCATGCCATGATTCAACAAGTATTTCATTTGATGGACCAATCCCATTGACCTCTCTTGCCTCAGGACAGACGTCAATGGGACCACTCCATGATTTTGATTGCAGATGACTGCACCAAGTATTTCATAGCACAATCAAGATTTCTTTGGCTCAAGCTCAAAAACAGTTTTCCAACCTCAACTATCAGACAGCACTCAAGCACTTCGAGAATAAACACAGCTTGTAATACTTCATCCAATTTCTTTCACTGCTGGAAAGTTATTTAACCCTTTTCAGTTACGGCAGCAATATTTCAGGGTTGTAATGGCATTGGGCTAGAAAATCAATAAAATTGAACTTCTATAAGCACTCAGGGGACATAATATCATCCCCATTAAAAACAAAACATTTCTTTTAAAACATACATTGCTGGTATATCTGAACCTAAATTAAAAAAAAAACAAGCACACACACACACACACACAAAAAGTCTACTAAAAAGCATCAATGGCAGTTCATAACTTAAAAGTAGAAAAACAAATCAACCATCTTCATATCTCAAGTATCAGACAAACTCACCTGGAATCTGATTCTTGAATGGCTCCAAAGCATTCAGTATTCTATCCATGAGCATTCCACTGTCTTGAGGATTGGTACTTTGCTGAGTGAATTAGAAAAAATAAAAATTAAAACAATTAGAAGGGGCTCAACTGAACGGAGTTCAAAATACTTTTAAAAAAAATATATGGCAAATGGAACTCTTTATAAGTAAGTGAATGAAATGTAAAAACAAAGTTTTCAGATCCACTTTGTGATAACATAAGCATGCATTCTATTATTGCTTTTCAAAAACTTTCCTCTGACATAATTATTTTCTACTTCTAAAAATGACGCATCATTTTAAAAAGAACATTATACTGCTGGCCAGCAACTGTCACTATGAAAAACAAAACCAGAGAGAGAAAAACTGAGTGATGGAGAGAGACAGACAGAGAGAAAGAGAGAGAGAGAGAGAGAGAGAGAGAGAGAGAGAGAGAGAGAGAGAGAGAGAGAGAGAGAGAAAGAAAGAGAGAGCGAGCACAAAACAAAGACTCTAAAAAAGCAGTGCGACCACTACCACCACTAGCCACTCACCAGCACATGCGTCAACCGCCCCTGGAGGTTCTGCATCAAGGGATCCTGAGTCTCCTGGGCCTGCTGGCGCAGCGTGTTCAGAAGGTGGCTCAGGGCCGGTGGCATCTTGTAGCCCATGTTGGCCCCGCCCCCACCACCGCCCATGTTGGCGTTCATGTTGTTGCCCATGTTGTTGTTCATACCCATGTGACCTTGGTTCATGGCCGGGCCCTGGTTCTGGAGGGGCAGACCTCCGAACTCGGGGTCGTACGGGAGGGAGGATGGGTCGTCAAAATTGTACGTGTGTTCGTACTCGGTGCACGACCCATTTTCCTGTGGACAGTCAAAAACACAAATCAGACCACAAGTTTAACTTACTGACTACGGATCCCGCCACGGGTACGGGGCGGACGGTCGGTTCGCAGGTTCGGATCCCGACGGGATGGACTCCAGTGCTAGTTTTGCCTCTTGTTTTGTTTCGTGCCGAGTTTGGCGGAAGTTTCATGGTAACTTTTTAAGCAATTGAAGGTGAAGGACAGTCACCTCATCTGGGGTTGACCTGACCGGAACTCGCGCAATGTTTTTTCTATACAAATGATAGTAATCCGACAGTCGCGTTGAAGTAACGGTCGCATGAACAAGAATCATATAATTTCGCTGTTTTTGATACTTCTGTACGTTTTGCTAGTTCTAGTGACTCAGAATATGATGTGTCTGATAGTTAGGACCCTGGATATGTAACCGAACACGGCCCGAGTCGTAGTTTTAGGGCTAGATCTAGCACTATTACTGTTGTTGTTGTTCGCGCGACGAAATCACAACTTCGTTCTCTACAATCTGTCTCATGCAATTCAGTGTATGGGTCTGAATAAACGCACAGACCAGCTTTTATATTTTCACCAAACACTCACACATGGATACAAATCAAAACAGAACAATTTGAACTTTTATTTTTGTTGTTGTTGTGAATTTCATTCTATCTGTCATGTCTCTGGAAATTTTTCTAAAAATCAAATTCATTCCAATTTTGAAACAATCATAAGAATTAAAGTATTAGACCAAGAGAACTTAATTTTTTTGCAATAGATTAAATTGCAGTTACTTTACTGTGTCAAAAAATAATTACAATGGGGTAATTCTGAGAGTTCTGGTGGTGTTTTGAAATGCCCCAAAAAATGCCAGTACTCAGCGCTAGTGATTTGTTGAAAGGGGCCGGCAGTCAGTGAGTTAACAAAAGAGCAAATGATGTCGGGCCAACAATAATTATCCAGAATCGTCTAAATATAAATGTTATGATATGCTACAAATGTATTCACATTAATATATAAATGATGGCAGTTCATCGAAATATAATGAGGTTACACATCATATTAGCCTTCTGTACTATTAAATAATTTTAAGGCAAGAAAAAAAAAAACCAAACAAAAGGACTCCTTCATTGCTGAAGATACAGCCAACAAAATGGATTGAGGTACTTGATTATTTGTTTCTTACTCTACTCACATCTTCTAAAGGAATGACTTTCATGTCATTTTCCTCGCCCGCCATGTCAGGATCTGGTTCATTCGGGGTATCTGGAACTCTGAAAAGGATAAACAAAATAAGATCTTTATGCACGCTATAAACTAGTAGTAAGAGTTTATTATTCTACTAGATATAAATCTAGTCATTTCTAAGGAAGACTATTAAATTGGTACCCTCTCAGAACACACAACTGATGAAAAATATTCCAGTAATAATGAGTAAAACATTTGGCCCCCACTCAAGGATTTGAATCTCAGACTTTGGTGAGTTGGTTTTGAAAGTCAAATTCATCAACTTTACCATAGCTTAGCTATCATCGAGGGAGCAAATGCAAGACAGACAATTAGCAAAAGTTTATAAACAACTTGTAGTGCCAGGTGAAGCAGCTTTTTGTCACATGGTACTTGACCAAAGAAACGGAAACACGCTTTTCAAAATTTAAATGAGTCCCCTTTTTTTCCATCAAAGGAAATATAATGTATGGTGCACACCTTTAAGCTCTGATATTTCTTACTTCCCAGACGTAAATTAACCATATTTTAAAGCCTTGCACAGTACAGAAGTGGTGAAGTGGGTAATGTTACTCTATGCTGTAAATTCTCGTTCTTCACATTCTTCCCCTTTTGGACCATGTTCATGTAAACAGAAAAATGAAAATAATAAAAGAAAGAAAATGCAGTAAGTAGATGTGCTTCAAATTGTAAATCTAAAAAAAAAGCATCACTCATCATCTTGGGAGGGCATTTGTGAAAAATTTAAGAGTATGCCCCTATTTTTCACTAGGGAATCATAAAAATTTAGAAACATACTCACTTGGCGCCTTATAACCAAACTTCAAAGTATCTCAAACATGTATTTTATACTGTGAGGTAAAATGATAGACCAGACTTACTTGTTGAAGAACAAGGCACACAGCACAGCCCTTTCCCTCTCTGTCTGCACAACCTTCTCCTGACTGTTGCAGCCGGGTTCCACCACTTCAATCACATCGTCGATGAGTTTAGGCCGTTTCCACTGAAGAAAAAAGGGGGTGATGTAAGAAAAAGGGAAACACAGGTGTAATTAGTAAGAAACAAACCATTTTTGCTTTCTAAAGACAATAGTTTGAAAAAAACAACACCCCAACAACTCCAAAACAATGAACAAATCAAAGCATACTTTCAACAATCTACTATTCAACAGCTTCCATAGAATGTAATTAAATGTAAACACTAGTCAACAATAAAAAAAAAAAAAAAAGAGGTAAATTCAACCCTTCTTGTATTAAAAAGAATGAGAAAATGCATTGATATAATGAATCCTTAAAAACTTACCGCACAAGAAAGTTGTACCCTCTATGGTCTATATGATATTTCAGCCCATAGTCATTCCCAAAAGAATGAAAAAAAAAGAAGTAAATATACGGTCACCCTGTTTGACCGTGCTCTAAAGAGTGAGCAAAAAAGACCCACATAGTCAACAATTTCTCTTACAGCAGCTACGATATAGCCTCATTTCAGCTGAATAAAGATCTCACCTCTAGAATTTCACTAAATCAGAATACCAAATTCAAAAAGACTAAATTCACCTTAACTTTAATTAAGAAAAGCACATAAGACAATATGGCTAAAACAGATGAGAATGAAGAAAGAAAAGGGGAGATCACATAGCAAGTAAGGGAGAGGCAAACACGAGCGTGGTACAAGAGTCACTTACTGGCAACACTTCCACCATGAAGTCATTGTTGAGTCTCTTGGCCGACTCCATTGCCTGAAGCGTAGTACAAAAAAGGCATGAACATTCTATTCAAAAGTAGACTGTTCTCAATAACATGCCATTCTTTACTTTGGTTTAAAAAATAAACCGATTGATTAACCAATTTAAAAAAATCACTTGATAATCAAGACAATAAATCAACAATGAAAAAAAAAAAGTAAAAAGCAACACATCAATGGTGGCTTGTTAACTAAAAAAAAATAGCAGTTATTTTATTGTTTTCATTTGAAAATAAATAAAAATTTAAAAATTCTATTAAAAACGAAGTATTCAAAATTGTCTTACCCTTTTGTCCAACACCATTTCTTCTTTCTTCATTTCCATGAAGCTCTTGGGACGGTTCACATTTTCTGTCAGAGAAATACAAGACATTTCAGAACCATAAAGTGAAGAGAACAAATATTCAATCACCTAGTATGGCTTATTTAAAATAATAAACATGTTTTTTTAGGCCTCAGTGGTTGTTTCTTTAGCTTTATAAAGCTTCCAGGTATAATATGCCTTATTTATATTTTACTACACTTACAATATTGGTTGATTTTAAAAGCTAGTTTTTATGTATGAACTTGCCTTCAAGCAACAAAGATAAATAACATTTGAAAGGATGAAAAACCTCTGTGCACAATTACTGCATACGAAACGTAAAACACCATGTAAAGGAAAAAAAGAGTCTCTCTTGCCAAGTATAAGCTGCAATACATTAAAGAAACAATGAGCTAATGGAAAAACCGAAAATTCCTTACAAATCATCATGAAGTTGAGAAACATTATTTTAGCTTCCCAACTAGACAGTACAAGATGAAAGGTGAACAAACAAACAAACCTCTTTCTGTCTCGTCCAGTTCAAAGTAAAAGTACTCCTCCAACTGACTTTCTCGCGCCCAAGAGACGCTCTTCTTCGGCTTCGTAGACTTGACTCGTTGCTCACCCTCGGATACAGGTGCTTTGTCCGAAGAATTCTCAGATGATTCTTTGGATTCTACAGGACGAGAAGACAGTAACAAAAACACATTAAAATTTTATCAAAGCGTTCATATTTATTGTAACTAATGTGGAAGAAGGGAAGCTTTATTCTAAGGCAAAAAGGGGAGCAGAAATCCTTATGATACAGAGAAAAGAACAACAAACAAAACACTACAACATGTGCATGGGAAAAGTCATCTAATACTGAGAAGAAATAAAACATGACCAGGAATTGTTTAGATTATCACAAGTTGAAAAGTTCAACTTTAAAAAAAAGTACATGCCACTCTAAGAATTAAGGGTTATGGTTAATGGACAAAAATGCAGACTTAGTGGGGTGTACGAATCAGTCTGAAACATGGTGCAGTGGATGTGGCTTTATTGTCAACGACAAAGCTTTATATTTGCTGTGGGAGGGTCTGAATGAACTGTCGGGAAAAAAAAAGTATCCAGGATGAGTTAATGCTTACCCAATTTGGTCCAACTTGAAGTCTATATTTGAAGACTGATCATATGATCCAATTTAGCAACCCTATACTGCAGCAAAGACTTAATGTCAAAGACCTGTACTTTTTTCACACAACATTCGGACAAAAGCCAACAGCAACACCCAACTTATCAACAAACATAAGCGACAGTACGACATTAAATTGGTCAGTTGTTAGATTCTAAGTATTCTCAGCTGAATAGCAGCACAGTTTGAAGTGTGAAATATAGGCGAAGTGTGAAATATAGGTGTGAGGCCTTAAAAAATTTCAAATAAAATACCACAGTAAAGTATGATCTCACCATTGGAAAGTCCCTCGGATTGCTCCATGCTAATGTCAGCATCAGACTGATCCAGTTGAGGTGGTGACGCCTCGCTGGTGTCCATGCCTTCTACAACAGGGGGGCCATCGTCTTCCTCCTCCACATTATCTTCCTTCTCCTCAGTGGGTTCGGGCATGTCCTCAAGAGTATCTCGGTAGAACTGACAAAAGGTTGCAAGAATATGTAAAGAATATTTCCTCCACTTTAAAAAAAAGTGCTAAAGAGGGATACGAGAATGTACTTGTTGAAAACTTATCTTCAAATTGTGTTAAATTTTGTTCCCCTAAATACAGTGGACAGATATAGAATTAAGAACATTTTAAGAAACAGCTTGAATTATCCCTTCTCTCTGTCAAACATTAGTAGGCCTACTGTTAAAGTATCACACATTCTTTATCTTTGAACGTTCCTCTCTAGTAACAACTTTAATTTTTGGTAGATAGCTTATTTGTGCTGCAAGTGCCATAAAACTCTTACTAAAACATTTATATACAGTGATGTGAAAACCAAACAAGTCTACTCACAGACGGAACACTGGGCAGCTTCTGAGCCATGGCTGCGGTGGGAGACAACAGTGGTGGTGAGGTGGGGCCCGTCTCCTCTTCCGGAGGGGAGGTGGCCTGGGGTGGGGAGGTGGCACTTGGTGGGGACAGAGAATGGCTGCCCCGTAACAAACTAGATGGCGCTGTGGTGGCTGAAGGTGAGGTCAGCTTCTTCTTCTTCTTGAGGGGGCCGTGAGTGTAGGAGGACTGCTGGAGAGCATCCATGAACACATTGCTCTCTTGGATCTCATGTGCAGGGGCTGTAACAAAAGTGTTTCTCCATCAACAAAAGTATTTTTACAGACTTAACACAAGCAGTAAAAGCAAGAGCCCCACATCACCTCTTGGCATGACCCCCCAAAAAATATCTTTTTAAAATTAATAAATTTACCAGCATCCGCAATAAGTCAACATGTACGTTTGCTTGTTTGGCAGTACAAGTGGAGATATCAGCACAAGTCACTATCAGAAGTACAAAGTTCTATCTGCCCAATACCTAGTTATAAGAAATTTGACTTCAAAATTTTAGTTTCACAATATGTCAAGTTTTTAAAAACGCAATTCTTAGAATATCTTAATAACGACTCCGAATATTCTTACGATTTTGATTTCTTATCTCAAGGTCTAAGTAACTCAAAACTGCCAAAAACATCAGATAGAACTTTGTAATTCTGAGGTAGCGAAAAACGTAAAGGAAGGTGCGCATTCACAACATCTAGCAGTGTGCATATATATCAAATGATACAGTTTGGGTCATTGTTTGTTTAATTTATGTACACCATTGTCAAACAACTTTCTCCAAGGTGGTCAACAGAGTGGAATTTATCTGTTTCATTCAATTACTTATATTTATGTTGCATCTGTCGTATGGACAGATATGATAAATTTATATATCGAGTTTGTACATTTTCATCAATTGAAATAATAAAAGACGTGTCAAGCTTGAAGAAAATGGCACTCATTGAAAATCTACAAATTTGACCCCTGCATTTATTTTCATTTATTTATGTTGTATCCATTGTATAGACAGATACGTTAAATTCATAGGTCGATTTTGTACACTGTCAGCAAATGAAAAAATAAAAGATGTTAAGCTTGAAGAAAATGGCACTCGTTGAAAACCTTACAAATTTGACCCCATGTCTCTATTTTCGACAGATATCTCCATTCGCTTATTGTGGATAACTAACTCGTTCTGTCAACACGCCCCGACAAAGCAAGCATCACCACAGGACAGCTGGATAGACAGAGACAGGAATGCCACTGGACTTTTGTAAAAATAGCAGAACATTTTTTGGAGACTAGATTTAGCGCGCTATGAAGCAATATAGGCAACAAAACGACATGTCACTTCAACGATAACAAAAAGTTTCGAACGGACGATGCCCAAAATAACGGGAAAAAAGAATCCCTGACTGAGACCATGAACAACAACACAAGCAAGCAACCAACCTCTCTTTGGCGGCGGAATGATTTTGATTCTGCCATGCTGAACCTCCGGAGGGGTCATATTGCCCAGGTCGACACTGGCAGGGGTCAAGGTGGGCATGGTGAGCTGCAGTCTGGGTTTCTTCTCTATCAAGTCTTCACCCCTCATCTCCAGGCTGTAGATAGGAAATCGGAGAGATATTCATGAGAAAAAAAATGCAATTAATTTTTATCGAGACCAGAAAACCATGACCTCACAGAACAATATCGATCTGTATTAATAACAGCTAATATGGCAAAGATGATTCTTCTTTTAATTTCTCTACTTTTATTGTCTAAAGAAACTTTATACATTTCTTCGAGTACCTCTTGTACTTTAAGAATGTAGCCACATCAGCCTATGACGCACAACTTCATGTCTCATAACATAATTTTAGAAAAACTGCCTATAAATTTCAGACTCTTGTGAGCCCCAAACCACTAAGATGTAAACTGAAGGTGTTTTTTGTAAGGTATACTAATTAAGTTCAACAACATGGAGAAAAACCTTTTTGTTACAGCCCCTGCACATGAGATCCAAGAGATGCAAAAACAATTTTTCATAAAAATTAGAAGAGATAATGGTAAATGTTGAAGAGTAAGATTCAAATCTCTGCGTGTGCCTCCTTACCCAGCTCTTTTGATGGGTGGTTTGTCCAGCTTTTTCTTCACAGGTTCTACTTCGTCCTCGTCGTCCTCGTCAAACAGGCCCGTGGACCTGAACCTTGTGTTGAGTTGTTTCACCGTTTTGGGTCTCCGGCGAGATTCTTCCTCCTTGTTGGCACCTGTGTCTGTCTTGCTGGAAGGAACTGTCCCCGCTGGAGTACTCACTGATGGGGTAGATGAAGAAGCTTTCGCCTCCTCTGGGAGAGAGATCTTTTTGGAAGAACTAGAGGGATCTTTAGATTTACTAGATGGGTGATCTGATGATGAGGATGAAGATGATTTCGTTGAGTCTTTGTTATTTTCGTTGGAAGATTTGGACTTGTCTCTCGACCTTTCCTTGTCCCGATCTTTGTCCTTGTGGCGGTCTCGATCTTTGCGATCTTTGTCTCTGTGGTGGTGCTCCTTTGATTCTTTATCACTTCTTTTGTGCTTTTCTGAATCTTTCTCTTCTCGCTCTTTTTTGTCATTTTCTTTGTCTTTATCACTCTTTTCCCTCTCCTTTTCCTTGTGTTTCTTCTTTTTCTTTTTGTCTGAAAACAGAAAACAAATCACCAGTGAGTCACTAAGTGGAAAACCCCCCCCCGCAACCTGCTCCCCCCCAAAAAAAAAAGTCAACTGAAATTATCAGGACAACCGGTGTTTACTATAACAAGATTGTACCAAAACTCATGCTCAGGCATGTACACAGAAGTATGCCACCTAAATCAGGCTTGTGGACCCATTGTTAAGTGAACAGAAAAAGAAAGCTACGACAAAGACTGGAATAGCAATACTGCTGTGTTTAAGATGGTGATGGTTATTCATATTATATATTTATATCTGTGACACAATGAAAAGCACTACACCCTTCATCAAGAGACATACTCACTAAACAACAACTCTGGGGGCAATATAGGACTTATCGAAACAAAAGCTACAAGAAAGCAAGAAAGAAAAAAAGCAAACTGGATCATAAGAAGAGAGACAGTGTGAACTACATAGTGTGTGCTGTAGCAACAGCTCCTACTCACCATCACTCTCTTCTTTGTTGTTCTGACCCCGGATTGTCTTTGTCCACGCATCCACCAGTTGAGAGGACAGAGTTTTGATCTCTGAAAAAGAAATTATAGTCATGCATTTAATTATTATATATATATAACACTGTTAAAAACAAAGCTAGCCATAAACATTACCAAGGACGTCAAGCATAATCACACTCATTCATTACCCAAAAATAAAGCGAAATTTGACATGATATAGAATATAATATAAAGTAGAACTACATGTACACATAATGCCAAAGATTTAAAGTTAAAACTAGCAAAATTCATTACCTAAAAACAAAGCGTAATACATAATAATAATACCATATCACTTAAAGAAAAAATTGTATACGTTTTGAAAAAAAAATCATGTTATTTACGAAAAGATATAGAAACACAAGATAAAAACAATAGCCTTTTCTAGTCAACCATGACTATTATTTTTAAAAATAAAAAATAAAACAACAATTTTAAAAATAAAAAATAAAACAAAAATTTAAAAAACTACCAGAAATTAAAACATAAAAAAACTTTAACAAGAAAATGCAAAATGAGAAATAAAATCCTTTAAGCAAAGCAAGAAGTAAAACCCTGTAAGCACAGATAAAGACACAGACTCTCTTTCTGAGACGGAAAAGTCACGCGTTCAGGTCTAGCCACCTTCTCATCATCTAAGTGCCCATCCACTCACTTTCGTTCTCAGCTTTACTGAGCTGCTTTATCGTCTTGGCCGCGCTGTTCTTCTTGAGCAGTGTGACCGACACGGGGAGGTTGAGGTATGCCTGTAATATCTCCCCGAGGAGGGCGTCGTTGCTGTCGTTGCGGGAGAAGTCTAGCCAGGTGTTCATCGTGTCCCAGCCGCCAACTTCGATGAATCTGAGACAAAAGTTTTCGTTTAAGTAAGAGTTTTATAGTTTTAGTAAGAGTAACACTATAATTATAAGGTCGCATAAGTGCCGATGATTAGATGTGTTACAAGAGAGTAACAAATACAAAAAAAGAAGGAGGAAAGATCAGGATGATAGGTGTTTGATAGGAAAGAAGGAGCAAACCACACCAGAGCACCCACCAACCACCCACAGTAAGAGTTTTAAGGCACTTGCAACACATTAAGTCATCTGAATGCCATTAATTAGAGGTGTTACAAGTGAATAACAAACATAAAAAAGAAGGAAGGGAAATCAGGATGATAGATATTTGATAAGAAAGAAATTATACAAAAGGATGAGGTATTAATGTTATAGTCTAGCTAGCATGCACATAGTGAAATCAGGGGTGTGTTTGAGTGTGTGTGGTGTGTGTCCGTGAAAGCGCATGGAACCGTAAAGTTGTCAATACTCCCACTGCGGAGAAGACAATACCCATAAAGACACTAGATAACACTGCAAAGTACATATTGTCAAACAATACCCTGCTGTAGTCATTTTCTGATACCCACTGGCCCAACTAACATTAAGGCACCATCATCACGGGACCAATAAAGTACAAACATTATGTGACTGATTGTGATAAAATGAAACCAACTAACTACCATTATGTTAGACTTCTATATATATATGGAAAAATGCAGACAACTAAAAAACATTCATTCTAGGTACGTTCACGTTTTAAAGACATATTTGACAATTTTACAAGCACACAGAAATCCAAATCCAAGCCTTTGAATCTATAAACTGCAACTGCTTTAGGATAAGGCGGGAATGTTGAATAGAAAGAAGCATTTTACATTCTTTTTCAAACAAAAACTACACTATGAACTTGTGGACACCTGTGCGGATTATAGAACTGAACCCTTCTCTGTAACTTTTACTTCCTTACAAACACTTTGTTCGTATTTTTATTTTTAAAATTGGCCCTTTATAAGCCACTTTCGTCATCATGAAAAGATTTAAAATGTAGACAAACACTATGGTCGATCTACACAGAACAGGGAGTGCCTCTGCTAATAACAAAAACGATGTAATATATATTTCCCTTTTCTCGCTTGAGGTCGCTTTTGCCTACACCAAAAACTGACTTACTTTTCTAAAGCACTTGGGGAATCGGTGACTCGCAGAATATTGAGGTAGATACATCTTGACACTAGCTTGGTGGCATCCTTCATCAGACTAAAACGGAGGAAATGAAAAAAGTATGGTAAATGCAGCAATGAGGAATTATCATACAGACAAAAATCCCTCAAAAGTAAATGCTAACAAATATTATAAGAACAGTTTGAAAGTAAAAAGTTACCATTAAAAAATATATCCCCAAAGACACATTAGTTATAAGTGAGAGGTTATTGAAAAGGCAGGACCTCCTAATTTGACAAAACTGAAAATCGGAGTCCTTTAAAATAACTCAAGTTCAACTTAAGAGTGTCTTGTTTGAAAATCAAACAAAGGTCCTCTGCACTGTAGTTCAGCACGATACTAACTAAGTTAATGGCGCATCCCTTGAAAAGGCAACGGAAACAAAATGAATAGATTTAATTGATTTAAATTTAAGTCACTTTAAAAAAAAAAAAAAAGAGCACAACAAACCAAACTACAGTAGAACATGGCTATAGCACGACTTTTGGCCTAGCCTAGGGCTATGGCACATCACTTTTGGAATGGCTCACGTAACACGTCTCTCCGCACCATCTCTCTCTCTGCCACCTGCCCCACCTCACTCATCACCAGACTGGCCAATCATAACGCCACACCGCTGACTGCCTGTTTGGAGCTCTCCTACAGCCTCGCCCCAACCTCCTTCCCCCAGCAAGAGCTCGCTCAGGCTCTTCCGCTGTATCCAAGTTTGGGCCTTTCCTTGCACCGTTTAACCAAAGCACAGTTAATTGAGCTTACATAGACCAAAAAAAGGGGATCCCAGTAAGGTCCTGCGCCGCTATAGTCATGTTCTACTATACAACCCCCCCCCCCCCAAAAAAAAAAGAAGTGACAACTTACCTAGCAATCCTTGAAGCCTCTTGAGCCCCTTTGATGCCCCCTGAGTTGGTCAGCAGGGGCCCCAAGGCTTTCAATAACTGCTGAGGGTCAATGGGAGGCTGAATGGAAGAAAAAATTACAGTACATGAAGGCATGAAGGCTACAGAAGAAACAACACATATATTCTGGCAATGTTATGAGTTATATTCACAAGCCACATCTATGGGGAATTTCAAAATACATCGCATGAAACAAAAACCCCTTTGATTGCAATAATGTAATATGAATTTTAACATTATAGTGACAACAGTGTAAGCACATATCTACCAAGTCAATCCCCTTTTGAAGGGTGTATTTGTAAATCAAGAATGAAAAAAAAAAAGACAGCTTGCAGGCCACATGTATCACAACAACAAAATGCTTACCATTGCTAGCGAGGTGTCATCACTCCCTTCTAAAAAAAAAACGGGCGTCTATTTGAGTGCAATCCGTATATATCTGAAAGTAGAGAAAAGGTCATTTGTTAGAAACATCTCAAGAAACAGTTGCAATCACATCAGTAGACTTAATTTTCTTATCATGCTAATCATGCCAGTCTGATGTCAATTTCCTGTTAAGACGTTGCCATCATTCTCTCAAAGATGTCTCCAACTCTTTAAAAAAGGTAACCAACTTTGTGCAATTTGATGCATTAAATTTAAAAAATATTCACAAACCCCACTTGTATGCTCCTGAAGAGAGAAGACTGACTTAATGAGGGGGAAGAACTGAATGATTCCGCCAACTGACTCTATAGAAAAACCCTTTTCATTCGATGGTCTCTTCGCAAGAACATCTGAACCATGCACCCTGCAGGTCAATGTCCTATATTATAGTCACAACCCTTCATTTGGGGGGAAGGGCGCGGGGCGGCGCGAACAGTCTATACCAAAATAGCAACAGCAGGGACATTAGAGTGCACTTGTGGAGACTGCATGTTACAGGCCTTTGAAGTTCAATGAGGTTACAAAAGAAGCCTCTTCCCCTTTAGAATGAGAAACAGTTTTAATTCAAAAAACTGTTTTTGTTTTGATAGGCGGAAAGCTATAGAGACTGACCTATTCATCCCTCGATAAATAAACCCCATAAGCACTTCCCAAGGAGATCAGTAGAACCCCCCCCCCAGAAAATCTGCTGGATGTGCCAGAAGAAGGGGGGAATTATTTCAAAACTGCTGTAGCTTAGCAATTACTATTAACTTTTACAAATTACAGAGATGGGCTTTATGATGATCATGTAAAGAAGTGTAGAGCAAGGGTTTCACGTTCTTTTCAATGTAGATTATTTAATAGGTGGGACCTCCAAATATACCGCCCTTCTTCAATGAGATCAAGTCAGTTTAGAGCCTTGAACACTCTCCAAACCACCCCTGAGTTAAAGAATCCCCTGTCAGAGATTTGAACCAGGGCCGACCACTTCACAATCTAGTACTAGTATGCTACCGAGGCATCAACTATCAACTTTCCACAGAAGTAGGCCCATCAGTTCTCAAGGGCTAGGGTGTGCATGAATGCTCCCTTACATTTGATGGGGGTCTCGGACAGATGGTGAACCGAGGTCAAGGGACTTGATCAACTCCCCCCCCCCCCCCCCCAAAAAAAAGGGAATTGAATTCTTTAAAAACCAACATATTTTATCCAAAGAACCCATGGCCTTCCAACTTTATTCATATTACTATGAACTTCTTACTTAGTAATGTGTAGTGCGTTGTGTGACTTGTTATCTTCCTCATTATACCAGTTCACAACATACCCCAAGGGATCTACAAAAGCCCATCTCTGAGTACCGTACATAAAAGTACCAGTAACTAAAGTAAGAATAGTAAGATGTTATTTCATACAAGTATAGGTCTAAGCATGCAAGCCATCAAGATTTCCTTTCCTGTTCCCTTCCCATATATATGGTGCCCAGTTTCAGTTTATCTATGTACCCACTGAAACTGAGCACGCGACAACATTTTTTTATAGTTCTTTGTACAACTTTTGTCTGTATAAGTATACCGCCACCCTCATCCCTGTACCCCAGCCATTGCCCCAACACTAATACTAATAAATTCCACACATTCCTTTTTTATCAACGTTTTATAACAATGCACCATCACACATTTCTCTCAATCTCTTCACCAACATCACCACCTTCTCTCCACAAACCACCTCAAGCTAAATTAGTACCGAACATTACCCCTCCCTCCCTCCCTCCATCAATCTCCACCATCTCATTTCACCAACACACACATCTCCCAACCATTTTTCAGGTACCCTGTGTGTATGTGTGTAAATTATATGCAGACCATTTCCCAGTCATTCATTTCCATGTACCGGGTAGTATTTTTTCCCTTTTTAAAAAAATCGCAGCTTAAGTTTGTAGACTATTGTATTGAAGTCTACATCATTTTTATATTTTTTATAAAGTAAATGTATCGGAATAAGCAAGAACTGACGACGAATCTGGAAAAAAAAGAAGAGAAATGTGACCATTCACGTTAATTTACATTACAATACATTTTGAATCTGTGGAACGAAAAGAAAAGAATACCTTATTAAGGACATCTGTAAATCAAACTAACAATCAAAGTTACGACACAAAGCATACCGGTAGGCTACTTGGGAATAAATTTCAAGATAGTTAAAATATAATATAAATGATTATATTCATATCATGACAAGTTATTCTTTTGACGAGCTGTAAAGTGACCTACACCTGGAGAGGACAGAAAATATTAAACATAAGTTTGATAATGAATCTAATACAATGAGAAATTTCTTGATTAACTTAAGAGAAATATATACAAAAATACATTACAATCGAGTATGCACACATAGTGAACTTCCACACAAGCAAAACACAGATTGCTACATTATGTTCTTTCTAAAACAGAACAATTCATACACATTATTTAACAAAAAGATTTCTGTGTCCTACTGAATTTGCTAAGTGCATGCTAGCCTATACGGTTCACCAGCATATTTAAAAATATGATCAGGTTATTGTACACTACAATTTCAGTTCAAAGATGGTGCTATATAATGTGAAATTATAGACTGTATAAACTCATGACCAAACAACAACGGAAGAATACTTGACCATAAAATTATACATATATCAGAATGGCGAAGAACACCAGCATAATATCGATAGGGTGTCATGTAAGGGTAAACAATGAGCATTTCAACAAGAAGAATGGCAACTTGGTTTGATCCGACAGGTCGAGATTTAAAAAAAAAAGAGCAGACCCAAGCTCATTTTGTTGTTGTTGGTGACAGCCAAGTGTTTCACACTTTAAAAAAAAACCCAAATTATTGGTGGGGGCTCATAATGTAGGGCAAAGGCAGATTTGTTTCAAGGGCACTGATGACATAAAAGCAATATGTAGAGACATTCAATTTTTGAAGGCCAGAGACAAAAGACTGCTCTGCCTCCCCCTACCCCAAGTCTTACATGAAGTGGACGAAGGACAAGGGTCGATCTGACACAAGCATCATGTATCTTTTCCCATTTCAAGTCATAGTTTGACCTTTATATTCAGCGAAATGGAGCAAATGCTCCATTGGAAATTTTTAAAAAGCTTAGCTTAGAGCAGTAGGAGAACATGCGGAGAAGGATGGTGACCCCAGTTGTGAAGGGACCCCCCCCCCCCCCCCCCGAAAAAACTGGAAAGCAAAGTTACTCCAATTTGGAACCCACTGTGACCAGTTCATATTCATAGAGGAAAGATAGTCTTGCTAAAAGATGCTGCTTCTTATCTTAGTCCACCCATTCCCCATTTTTTCCCTCTGCTTTTCCAACAACAAAGCTCCAAATGCTTCTTAGTCTTTTATAGCCGACTAAACTTCTCTTTTAGTTAGAAGTTCTACTGAGCATTTTCAAATGCAGAGAGCCAGTTCTTTAGAATAAGATGATCACCAAATGCACAGCAGGCAATGGAACCACAAATGAGCCCCAAGAATACTTTATAGTCATTGACATGATCTCCACTGATCGAGTTCATGTAGGAGTCAACATCTATAATGTCCCGGTTTTTTAAAAACTTCTTTCAGGTCACTGGAAGAGCTCAAATTTTCGTTTTATAATTGTCGTACTGTGTGATTGCTTTAAAAAAAAAAAATCCCTGGCAGCCCTTGTCGAGTCCCAACAGTGTGCTTTCAATTTCAATAGAAACAAGCATCTCTGGATGCCATAAACAGAGAGAGAAAAATGCAATGGTAGTGGACTGTCTTGTGAATTGTGAAAGACCGGACAGAGCCATTAAAGTCCTGTTGATACCAGACACTTGAAGTTCTTTGAAATATCTGAAGAGGAAATCAGCACAAGGGAAGCAGTGCAACAATTGTTTCACAATGGTAAGAAAGGAGCCCTAATTCACCACATCGAGGTTAGGTGAAGCCATCATTCACAACATGATCAAAGGGACCCCATCATTCACAACATGATCAAAATCAAAGGGACCCCATCATTCACAAAATGATCAAACTGACCCTGCCATCATTCATGACATGACCAAATCAAACAAAGGGACCCCATCATTCATAACAAGATCAAACGGACCCCGCCATTATTCACAACATGATCAAAAGGACCCCATCATTCACAAAATGATTAAAGGGACCCCGCCATCATTCATAACATGATCAAAATCAAACAAAGGGACCCCATCATTCATAACAAGATCAAACAGACCCCGCCATCATTCACAAAATGATCAAAGGGACCCCATCATTCACAATATGATCAAAGGGACCCCATCATTGATAACATGATCAAACGAAACCTATCATTCACAACATGATCAAACAAAGGGACCCCACCATCATTCACATGATCAAACAAAGGGACCCCACCATCATTCACATGATCAAACAAAGGGATCCCACCATCATTCACATTATCAAACAAAGGGACCCCATAATTTATAACACGATCAAACGAACCCTATCATTCACAACATGATCAAACGGACCCCGCCATCATTTACAACATGATCAAACGGACCCCATCATTCACAACATGATCAAAAAGACCCCATTATTCATAAAAAGATCAAACAGACCCCGCCATAATTCACAACATAATCAAACGAACCCCATCATTCACAACATGATAAACAAACCCCATCATTCACAACATGATCAAACGAACCCCATCATTCACAACATGATCAAACGAACCCCATCATTCACAATGTAATCAAACGAACCCCATCATTCACAACGTAATCAAACGGACCCCATCATTCACAACGTAATCAAACGAACCCCATCATTCACAAGGTAATCAAACGAACCCCATCATTCACAACATGATCAAACGAACCCCATAATTCACAACGTAATCAAACGGACCCCCATCATTCACAACATAATCAAACGGACCCCATCATTCACAACATAATCAAACTGACCCCATCATTCACAACATGATCAAACGGACCCCATCATTCACATGATCAAACAAAGGGATCC